GGTAAAACCAGTAAGGCTGAGAAGTTATTTCTCTTTTCTTGTTGCCCAGAAACATGGAGATATGTGTTCCCCTATTGTATTTCTTACCCCATAAGAAGGTGCCAGTAAATGAGCTATAGCTATAGCTTTATTTATTTATTTATTTATTTATTTATTTAATTTGTCTCCCTTGGTACAGTGCCTTGGCATGATAGTTCATAGCAACCTCAAATTCTTGGGCTCAAGGGATTCTCTTATCTCAGCCTCCCAAGTAGCTGGGACTACAGGTGTCTGCCACAACGCCCAGCTATGTTTTAGCTCTTGCTCAGGGTGGTCTCAAACTCATGATCTTAAGTAATCCATCCACCTTGGCCTCCCAGAGTGCTGGAATTGCAGGCAAGAGCCGCCACTCCCAGACCTAAAGGTATAGCTTTGTTAAGATATCTAGTCCTTTTTCCCTTGGAATCAAATATTCTTGATTTCCTAAGCCTAAAAGTTAAGAAGAAGTGAAATTTTAATGTAAATATTACCTTTTAATCACATATAAATCTCCACGTCTCTCTTTTAAGAAATAAAGGTAGTTTTTAATTCTAAATAGTAGTTTTCCTATCACTGTGAAGAATCGCCATAGAAAAATTTAGGAAGGCATAGATCAAGCGTCCTCAAACTATTGCCCGCCTAGGACATTTATCTGGCCTGTCGGGTGTTTTTGCCGCCGCTGCCTATCCTCCTTACCAGCCAGCTCGTCCCAGGGCCTGCAGTCCAGCCTTCCAATCGTCTGAGGGACAGTGAACTGGCCCCCTGTTTAAAAAGTTTGAAGACGCCTGGCATATAGTTAATGAAAATTACCTTGAGTTGTAGTAAACCAGGAGTCAAATTTGAATAACTCCCTTGTGGAGTTGGTGAAACAATTATTGACTTAATATGTTATATATAAGGAAAGGATGCTATTTTTTACCCATCAGATTGGTAACAATTTTGAAGTATAGTAATATCAAATGTTAACAAGAATTCTGGAAAACAAGTACTCTCATGCAGAGCTGGCAAGAATAGAAACTGGAATAGCCGCTTTGCTTAACAACTTGGCAATACTTGTTAAAATTGAAAATGTGTACCCTCTTGATCCTATAATTCTACTTCTCTCAACCCTAGCAAAACCTTGCACATGTACATAGAAGGCATGTACAAGAATATTTCACTGTGGCAAAAAAGAGTGAGGCAGATTTATATGCACTGATATAAATAAATCTGTAAGACCAGTTAAGTAAGAAATAAGGCAAGTTACAGAATAATATGTACATATAGTATAAGTCTATTTATGTTTAACACACACTAAAATTTGTATACACACATGCATGTATACTATATATTTATCATTTATTAATTACATATTCTAGATATTTATATGTGTGTTGTAATGTATATTACATATATACATAATACATTTAATATACAATTATGTACAAAATGATGACATTTTAGTCAATGACAGGTTACATATACAGTGATGGCTCCATTAGATTATAATACTATATTTGTACTGTACTTTTTCTTTTTTTCCTTTTTTTTTTTCCAAGACAAAGCCTCAAGCTGCCCCCCTGGGTAGAGTGCTGTGGCATCACAGCTCACAGCAACCTCTAACTCCTGGGCTCAAGCGAGTCTCCTGCCTCTGCCTCCTAAGTAGCTGGGACCACAGGCGCCCGCCACAAGGCCAGGCTATTTTTTGGTTGTAGCCATCATTGTTGCTTGGCGGACCCGGGCTGGATTCGAACCCACCACCTTAGGTGCATGTGGCTGGCGCCTTAGCCACTTGAGCCACAGGCGCCGAGCTATGTACTTTTTCTATGTTTAGATAATGTCTAGTTTCACAAATACCATTGTGTTATAATTGCCTACAGGATTCAATATAGTACCATTCTGTACAAGTTTATAGCCTAAAAGCAATAGGCTACACCATATAGCCTAGCTGTGTAGTAAGCTTATACCATCTAGATTTGTGTAAGTACACTCTATGATTATTGCACGGTGATGGAATTGCCTAACAATGCATTTCACAGAACCTATTGTTAAGTGAGGTATGACTATATTAATGTCTAGATATATAAATGGTAAATATCTAGAAAAATGTCTGGAAAATTTGCACCAAGCTGATAACAGTGACTACTTCTGGAGAGGGGAATGGAACTTTGGCAAGGGTCAAGCAGTCAAGGGGACCTGATCTTTATCTGCATTATCTAGATTATTTTTATAAGAATATATTCATTTTACTTCTATAAGTAAAAATAAATATAAAGAATGTGTAAGGCCAGGTGCAATAACTTATGCCTGTAATCTCAGCACTTTGGGAGGCTGAGGCAAAAGGATCACTTGTGGCTAAGAGTTTGAGACTAGCCTGGATAACATCAAAAGTTCCCTATCTCTACAAAAAAAAAAAAAAAAATTAAAAATTAGCTTGGTGTGGTGACATGCAGCCATAGTCCTAGCTGCTCAGAAAGCTGAGGAGAGGGGATCCCTTGAGTTTGAGATTACAGTGAGCTATGATTGTGCCACTGCACTCTAGTCTGGGCAACAGAGCAACACCCTGTCTCTTCAAAAACAAAAGGATATATATGAGGTCTCACAATTAAGTTCACAAACTCATCCTAGAAAAAGTGCTACATATCTCATTGTCGCATATCGCTATGGTCACCTTCAAAGTGCTCCCCTTGGAAAGCTATGCTGCAATGTTAGCACCTAGGCCACCCTTCAAAACAATTTTGGAGGCTCGCCGCCTGTGGCTCAAGTGGCTAAGGCGCCAGCCACGTACACCCAAGGTGGCCAGTTCGAATCCAGCCTGGGCCCGCCAAACAACAATGATGACTGCAACCAAAAAATAGCTGGGCGTTGTGGCGGGCGCCTGTGGTCCCAGCTACTTGGAAGGTGGAGGCAGGAAGCTCGCTTGAGCCCAGGAGTTGGAGGTTGCTGTGAGCTGAGATGCCACGGTACTCTACCCAGGGGGACAGCTTGAGGCTCCTGTCTCAAAAAAAAA